GCCACTAATCTACAGCGCAGGCACCTTCTCCTCATCATCATCATCACCATCACCACTACCATGCACCGACGCCAACCCCGACTAACGATGGTACTGGTCTGAAGGCGACGGAGAGGTTTATTTGTTGCACTGCGGCAGTGGAAAGTTTAGTTTTGTTGTGTAGACTAGTTTTATTATTCATGGGTTTGAGCATTGAGCTACATTTTATTTTCATTATTCTTTATCATGTATATATTTCCAACTTTTAATTCTAAATTAATTAAAAAAACCCTAAGCCCTAAACCTTATGACCCAAAAATTGGCTAGAAATGCCTGGAAATCAGGCTGCATCCCTGCCATGGCCATGACGCGTCCCAGACAAGGCCTCCACACTGAGTCCCAAAAATTGCCTAGAAATGTTTGAAAATCAGGCTGTCTCTGCCATGGCCAGGATGCATCCCGGACTTGGCCTGCACATTGTGCCCACAAACTGCCTAGAAATGCCTGAAAATCAGGCTCCGTCCCTACCTAGCCAAGATGCGTCCCGGACATGGTCTATACGCCATGCTCAAAAATTGCCCAAAATTAGCTAAAAATCAGGCTCTATCCCTGCCGTGGCCCGGACGTGTCCCTGACATGACCTGCACACCGTGACCCAAAAACTAACGAGAAATGCCTAAAACTCAGGTTGCGTCCATACCGCGTCCTAGACATCACCAGCACACCATGTCCTAGAAACTGCCTAGAAATGCCTGGAAATCAGGCCGCAACCCAGACGAGTCCCGAATATTGCCTGCACACCGTGTCCAAGAAACTACATAGAAAAACGTGAAAATTAGGATTTGTCCCTTCAGCATCCTGGAATGGCCTGCACACCGTGTCTCGAAAACTACCTGAAAAGCAGGCTGCATCCCTGTTATGAACCAGACACATCCCGAACATTGCCTAAAAAAACCTGAAAGTCTGGATGCGTCCCTGGCGCATCCTGGTTATGGCCTGCACATCGTGTCCACGAAACTGCCCAGAATTGCCTAAAAATCAAACTCCGTCTCTACCTTGCCCATGACAAGTCCCGAACATGGCTTGCACATGGAGTCCCAGAAATGCCTGAAAATTAGGCTACGTCCCAGCCCGTCCCGAACATGGCCTGCACACCGTGCCCACAAATTGCCTACAAATGCCTTAAAATCAGTCTGCATCCCTATCGAGGCTAGGACGTGTCCCGGACGTGGCCTGCACACTGTGTTCAAAAACTTCCCAGAAATGCCAGAAAATCAGGTCCCTAATGCATCCTAGCCTTGGCCTGCACACTGCGTCCCAGAAACTACCTAGAAATGCCTAAAAATCAGGCTACGTCTCTATCGCGTCCTAGACATTGCCTGCACACCGTGTTCCAAAAATTACCTAGAAATGCCTGGAAATTAGGCTGCATCCCTACATCAGCCCAGACGCGTCCCGAAAATTGCATGCACACTGGGTCGAAGAAATTTCCTAGAAATACGTGAAAATCAGGATGTCTCCCTACAACATCCTGGATATGGCCTGCACAACGTGTCCTAGAAACTATCTAGAAATGCCAAGAAACCAGGCTATATCAATACCACGGCCCATACGTGTCCCGGACATTGCCTGCACATCGTGTTCTAGAAACTGCCTAAAAATACCTAAAAGTCAGGATGCGTCCCTGCCGCATCCTGCACATAGCCTACACACCATGTCCTAGAAACTGCCCAAAGTGCTTGGAAAGGTGCCTGGGCCCCTAACATGGCCTGCACACCGTGCTTTCTTCGTTTGGTTGAAAATCTACTTGTGTCCCTAACGTGGCCGGGACGCATCCCGAACAATACCTACACACCGTGCCTCCAAACTGCCTAGAAATGACTGAAATTTAGGTTGCTTCCCTGTCGCGGCCAGGACACGTCTTGAACATGGCCAGCACACCGTGCCCACAAACTACCTAGAAATGCCTAAAAATCAGGTTGCATCCCTG